TCACAAATTTTAAACATGTACAAAAGTATAAAAATACTGTGAGTGTTCCTTGTATACCCATGAACTCATCGTGCTTTATTATTTACCAACTGATGGCTGTCATGTTTTAGCTATACCCCCACCTGCTTCACCCCATTCCATATTATCTTGAAGCAGCTCCGAGACAACATGTAATTACACCTATATATTTTTGGTATTTGTATTTAAAATACAGGACTTTTATTCCTTAATATCATTTTTTAATATTAAATACCCAGCGAGTGCTCAAATTTGCAATTGTCTCCTAAATGTCATACAAAATTGTTTTTAAGAATTTTGAATTCGATCCGAAGATAGTCCACCCTTTCCCGTTGATTGTTATTAGGTCTCTGAAGTCTTGTTTAATCTATAGGTTCTCCCTCCATGTCTCTCTCACTTTTTTTTCCTCCTTGAATTTTATTTTTAAAGAAACCAGGTAATTTGTCCCATCTGTATTTTGATGATTAACTTCCATGTGTTGGTAACGTATCCTTCAGTCCTTTTATTTCCTGTAAATTGGTAGCTGATCAGAATGAAGTTTGCATGTTTTGTTTTGGCAAGACAGTTTCTTAGGTGATGATGTGTTCTTCCATGGAGACATAGATAATTGTCTCTTTCTGTGATAGTAGCAGTCACTGATGATTCATACCTACATCCATTAATTCAGTTGAGGCTTCAAAAAATGGTGAATTCTGTTGTTCTTTTCTTCACTTATTAGCTTCGTATCTTTCTATGAGGAGAAGACTCCCCTCATCAGCTGTTTGGTTGCCCAGTTGTAGAGGCATGATTCTCTTCTTTTATTTAACAGTTTTCAAAATAATAAGTTGATTCACAGATATCCTCCAGTGGTGACCAGTTTTGTAAAATTTATTTATTCATATCACCGTGGACTCCGTTACAGTTATCATTCTAACTGAGGCCCTATCTTTGGCCAGTTGGAGCTTCCCAGGGAGTCCTGAGTCCTTTTGACATGACATCAGTTGTTTCTAGACTTTTTCAGTGGTCAGAGCTAGGAAATATGTATGTTTGTTTATAATATTTTTAAAATATGTCATAGGTTCATACTGCTACTTTCCATTTAAATTCAGAACTAGAGAATTTTTGCTTATCCTTTTCTGTCTTCTATGGATAGTCTACTTTCTCCCACGCCAAGAATACCAGTTCTCAACAATGCCTGAAATTTGCTCTATTTCCTGATTCGAATCCAAGTTCTTCTGACTCTATTCTACTTAAATCACAGCCGCTTTATGGCCCTTGAAATGTAAGATAGAACATAAATGTAGGTAGAACTGTTTATATCATTTTGAGTTACATGTGCATTCATTCGCATAGATTTGCTTTTCCTTTCGCATGCCTAGTAACTGTCCATTCTGCAGTTTTAATGAAAATCTAGTGATAATTACTGGTTAAAGCAGCTTTGGAAAAAATGGCTCTTATCAGAATGACTGACATACTAAGTTTAATGTACTCTCCTCGTTTATATTCTGCCTCCTCTAATTAATTGTTTATTCTTTCCCTAAAA